TCACCTTGCGATACCGCAAACGGACACCTATGGATGCACAGCACAGCACAGACTCAGTGCATGCACGGCGTAATAATAAATGGAGTACAATGAAACCAACAACGGTCAACTTGCACCCTATGCAGTAAGTATTAGTTACAGAGGACGTAGCAACTAGGCATATGCGGATTATGCCGTCAGAAAAATTGGCAGAATTCGGTACTTTTTCTGGTAAGTTTCATGCATGTTTGGTATGTGGATAAAGAAATGGAGCAGAATTCGGGGAAATGCCCGCCATAAGGTTTGTATCGTTCTGCCAATTTCACTGCTTTTCGAGCAGAATCTGCCACCTTCTTGAGCATTATCCGCACACGCCTGCTGCCAACAAAAAAAGCTGGGTACGTGTATAGCGCACACTCCAATGGCATGGATGCTGGTACATACATGTACCTCGTCAGCCACAGGCTGATTAGCTACTACATGTACAATACATGACGTACATGTATGTTGGTACTGCTGTCAGATTTCTGTTGAGACTCGGGGCAGATCGTGACATGATGGTGAGATTGGTGACCCACGCGAGAACACACATTACACTTGCGGCTGGCCTTGCACTGAGTTGACCGGTGACCTGTGCGCAAACACACAAAGTAACGCTTCTGTTCAATCAGTTATTCTTTCCGCTGTGCAACTGTTGTGTATTTCGTGCAGCTCGGGTCCAGGTGAGATCCGCCGCAGAATGCACATCCTCTCGTACTTCTGGCATTCCAGTTACCATCAGACCACTTCCTTCTCGTGAACGTAACGTTACTTGCATGCGCCTGTCACCAGTGCACCTGCAGAATAGTGAGTGACATCTTCTGCTGTATATGACATGTAGTACTGTGTACCGCCTGTGTCTGTGCGCGTATGTGAAAGGTTGCGTAAAAGAACGCGCGGATCCAAATACCACAGAAACTCGCTGCCATACGCATGGTCTCATCTCAAAATTGTTTTAGAACAAACTTTAGTTTGCATCTGAATAGTGAATAGTGTTCTTCATCGCATGTCAGCCCACGACTCATTGGACTATTCTTGAAGCCACAGTTGTCCGCAGAGCTAGCTGCACTTCTTGTGCTGATACAGTAGTTGTAGTTGTTCGTTTGAAGTTGTTGTTTAGTCACTCACGGGCGACGCCGACGCCGAAGATGAATTTGTGAGAAATCCGTAGAAGAAGAAAGCTGAGAAAAGCGTTTTGCATGGCTAGCAACCAACGCATATGGCCGATTGGTTTGCAGGCCTGCTTGCGAATCATGAGGTCCCGAGTTCGAGACCCGCGCTGGTAGCAGGGAGCGTGTAAAGACTTTTTACGTGAGTAAAGACTTTTTATGCGTGGTGAACTGCGCCGACACCCACGGTCAACTGGGTACTCACAGCTCGGAGTGAGGGTAACAAGGATGCAGTTTACAGGGTTATGGGCCGTTACACGCCCGATTGGTTGAGAGACTCACCTACTCTCCCCTGACTCACTTGTGAGGTCTGCATTCGCCACTAAGGTGTGCAAGGCATAGGCATAGTGGTGGCCTGCGGAAGCGAAGGCTAGTTTGTGTGTTTCTGAACATTCAAGCGATGCCAACGCGAATCCCGCGAATTATTATTATTATTATGTCCATGCGGACATTACTCCAGGCTCCTAACGCGCTCTCCATGTCAAACTCCGGATCAGCGTGGTTGCCCGTGACAGTCGATCTCTTGTACTTCTTGTACATTTCCCTGGCTTTAGATTTCACGTTGTCTATTTTGTTGTGCACTATGAGCGCCGTCACCTCCCAGTCAAGGCCATTTTCCTTGGCAAGTTTGTTCAGCTCATCGGCAATTTCTTTCTCACGAACAGCGCGTTTCTTCATCTTGCCACTGTTCGTCTTATGCAGCCCATGGGTCGATGAGCTTTGCCTCCAAAACTGAAAAAATCTGGCGAGGCGCCGAGGCATCGTATCAAATAATTAATTGAACTTAATCGAACAACCAGGTGAAAATACAACAAGCTCTTTCAACCCACTTTGTCAACAAGAAACAGCGTATATCCTGCTTTCTATACCCCTTCGGGAGTTGCTGAAAACATTATACGAGTTTTCCCGCCTCAGGTGAAAGTCGTCAAGGTACCCACACTCCCACAGTACAAGAACACGTTGAAAGCATGACATTTTGTACCTCGTGTGAACCGCACCTTATGCAATGTGTACTACAGAAGTAACTAATCACTTGTAATCATCCAAACCACAGAATACACTCAAACTAGCACTGATGGCATGTGACCTGCAGGTGCTGCACGTTCCTATTAGTTAAGGGTACAGTGCTGGAAGTACAGTCACGCAATTCCACAACAATCATTATTATTATTATTAGAGAGGTTTCGGGGTACGATTTTCCGTGCCAAAATCCGTATGGGCGCTACGGATTTTTTCCAGGCGTGCTCCATACGATTTTTCGGCACGAGAATCCGTGTGGACTGGCTTTCATACGAACCATGCTTCGTATGGAGATTTTGCGTCATCGGGTGCAGAAAGATTTTTCGCGTACAAATTTGGTACGAGAAACATCGATTTTTCGCGGGAAGTTTTGATTTCGGTACAAATTTTCAAAATAAAAAGGCATAGCGCGGGAACGTGACGTGTTTGCGATCGTAACCTAGGCAATGACGGCAAACACATAAGTTCCGTACCCCGGAACTTTTCACTGCTCGAAAACGACGTATAAAAAATCCGTAGAGCCTCCACGGATTTTGGCACGAAAATCGTACTCCGGAACCTCCCTATTATTATTATTGTCCATCCTCTCAAACAAAGACATGGTCTGCTCATCACCCCAGTACAAATGACAGTGATAATGACAATGATAAAATCAATAAAATAATGTCAAACTGTTGCGAACACCAACCTTCGTTTAACTATGCACTCTACTAAGAGTCTTGCCCTACTTCTGGAGTAATAATAATAATTATAATATTCGCGGGATCTGCGTTAGCATCACTTGAATGTTCAGAAACACACAAGCTATAGCCTTCGCTTCCGCAGGCCACCACTATGCCTTTTCACCTTAGTGGCAGATGCAGACCTCACAAGTGAGTCAACGATCCTGTACGATTTTGACCAAAAGTGGTTTGTGAACCGTTTGCGCCGGTGATCGCCGGCTGCCGGAAGCCAGACTTTGTCAAAATTTCAAAAAAGGCTCGTCCTAAATTTTCCTAAATTGAAGCTAGAGACGAGGCTCGTTCGCCATTCTTGTAATCGCTTCAAGGTGGCAAATAAGTCAGCATACCAACCCGGCCTTTTCGGATGATCTGCTTGACTGTTGCGCAACTTATGAGACAAATACAATTATAACGAGGTCTGTCTCGTTGTCCAGGAAACGACCAATCAGCGACATTCCCGCCAAGGGCCTTATCAGAGTTTAAAGCCCGCTCAATCGTTATTTTACTACTCTTGATGACGCGTCGAGGGCCTTGGGTTAGTTTAAAGCCCGCTGAATATACTCTAAACTGGTGCGTACAACTCCCTGTATGCATAATAGTACGGTGGAGATAATGAACTCTGCATAACGTGTACGGTGTACTACTAAAAGCTACGCAATTCAGAAGTGTGTACGGTTTTTCCTCCCGTATTCTTTCACCTGTACGAATTTTCTTTGTCAACAGCTTGCGGAAACCTATAAAAACCGAAGATCAAAGTCATTAGAGTTATCGACAAGGGGCTCTCAAAGCCCCCAAAATAGCTCCACAAGCTACATGTATGAATAAGAATGAAGCTCGCAATAAGAGCCCAGCATTTCATTTGCTTCCATTCTACTTTTAGTAGTCCTAAGTGGTGCTGAGTTACCATAACTTTCCAGAAGAAAATATTCTTTCATACCACACCAAGTCTCTCTGCACACAAACCACAAAACTACCCGATATAGTGGTACACACGCATAATGGAAGTGAGATAATGCATGTAACCTCGTTCTAAAATAGTTAGTGCATGGCAGGGAGGGCCTTATGGCTTGTTTGTGCCCTTCAGGGTAGCCCTCGGGCCTACGGCCCTCAGGCTAACCTGTCGGGCACTAACAAGCCGTAAGGCCCTCCCTGCCATGCACTAACCTATAATTAAAACAAATAAAAAATACGATGGATACATTGGCAAGTTCTTGTGCCTTCATCAACGTTTGCATGCATAATTTCGACGCCATTGCTTACTAGACTGCAATAAAATGGGTAGAAGTAGTTTCCTGATCTCCAGTAAAAGGTAGCAACCAGTGGCCATCACCGAAAGACCTTGAACTACTAAAGAAACAAAGAATTCAAGCTTCAATTGGCAAACCTGTCGTAGCATTTGGACACTTTCTGTACTACTTTACTTCGTAGTAGATTTGGTACTCGAACCGTATGCGCAACGGATCGGGAGCTGGCTCACCGCCGATGTCTTGCGAGGTCTTGCGGCGCCGATTTTGCTTATGTGAACCATCCCTGACAGCCCAATAACCCTGTAAACCGAACCGTATGCGCAACGGAACGGGAGCTGGCTCACCGCCAATGTCTTGCAATGTCTTGAGGCGCCGATTTTGCTTATGTGAACCAGCCCTAACAGCCCATAACCCTGTAAACTGCATCCTTGTTATCCATACTCCGAGCTGTGAGTACCCAGTTGACTGTGAGTGTGGCCGCAGTTCAACCCGCGTAAAAAGTCTTTTTACCAGCGCGGATCTCGAACTCGGGACCTCATCATGTATTGTGTACAATTGCCGCGAAATGAAAAGGAGATTGCAGGCATGCACAGTTTGTGAGCTAAACGTCGCCACTGTTGCGTGCATGACATGCGCACAAGTGTACATGGTGTGGAGAGAGTATAATATAAAGAAGCGACCTAACGCGAGTAATCTTCAGAAGTCGATCATCAAAACAGTATTTCCCTTTCTCCGTTCAATAATACGAAGGAACAGTTTGTTCTCGAACCAAGAAAGAAATCATGTTTCGTTTTTCATTGGCTCTCGCATTGTGTATGACATTCATGACAGCGGTGTCCAGCCTTCCCTCGCTGAGGAACTCCCAAACGTTTCCCGATTCGTATGAAGATGCTGATGGCCTTGAAAGCGTGGATGATGCTGTAAAGGTTGACGAGCAACATTCCCTTGGCAATGAAGACATTGCAAGTGTTGAAGACACCAGACTGGCTATGCTGCATGCAGGAAAACGGTCGACGTCGAACACAGCTCCAACCTCAGTGGAGTGCTGCGGAAACTCAGAGTATGGTCTCCTCATCTACCGTTTCGAAGCAATTCCTATGAACCGCGAAAATGCTATCAAGAACTGCCAGCGCAATGGTGGAGAACTGGCAGCGCCACTCAACATGAAGGAATTCATTGTCCTGGAGAACCTCGTTCGTCCCCTGCTTCAATCGCGTCATGCTGCCTATATTGGATATAATGATGTTGAGGAGGAGGGTAAGTTTGTCGACAACAACGGACACCCAGCGGCGATCAACAATTTCCGTACCCATGAACCAAACAACGTCCACAACGAAGACTGTCTGGTTATAACTGCGGATGGAAAATTTAACGACATTCCATGCTCCACTGGACGCACATCTATCTGTGAATTCAGAATTCATGGCTATTAAATTAGCAAAGCCTTTGAAGTTTGAACTGAATTTTGTCTGTTCCTTCACGATGGCTTCGATTATCTGTACGAACACCGACTACAGTGCAGTGGAAAAAGTGTTGATGCGGGGAGGTAGGTTTGAAGTTTTAGCGCTCTCCTGCTGTCAACCGGTGTGAGATGTTTTCGATGCAGTAGCTCGTCCGTGAAGTTACGATGCCCCCTCCGGGAGGCTCCGTGCCAGGCGAGAGCCGTTGTTGCCAGTGCAGTGGCAACTCCAAGTGCGGATCCAGCTGTAGCTGCCGAGAATCGAAGATATCCTGCCGAAATTGCACACCAGGAAGGAAAGCAAAATGCCGTAACTCTCCTCCCGCCACCCAGTCAACGAATCCCGTAGGTGTTCAAACGGTGCGCCACGTGCCGGCACAATCACCCACATGCTCCCACGGAGGGGTCGGAAGTGCTAGTGGGCGACAGGCTAATGCATGTAGTACTGATCAACATCAGACGACCACCAACCACTTGTCTACCGAGCTTAGCCCTCAGAGTCAAACTGCGCGACACACCTCAACAGTTCATACTGCCCATAGTCTTAGTGCGACCGCCTCCGATATGCCTGTCTCTTGTTCTCAACAGCTGGCTTGGGACGAACTTGAAAATGAGCAGAACCGTGCACTCCTCCAGCCCGTGACTGTACGTGACACTACCCTATTGGCGAACTTGGACTCGTCACAATCATCTGAGCTGGACCTCCACATGGCCCACCCTGTGCCCGAACCCCTCAATGCACCTGCCCCACCACCTGGTCCAGGGGTCAATGATCTCTCCAATCTCCCTGACTACCCGCGTACCCTTGGAGATAGATTCTCACTAGGGGATTTGGGCACACAGGAGACTGCTCGCTGTATCAATACTGCCTATGATACACTAGTCCACTACCGTCCAAATGCAATGCAGGTCCCACGGGGTAACACCGGCAAGGACTTTGTGTCTCAACTCGCACAGTACATTCAGTGCTTTGGTGTGAGAGGACAGTATGAGGGCCAAGCTTTCAAAGTTGCGATGGTGTTTCAAATGCTGCTGCTACAGAAACCACTTGGCCCATCAGAGAAACCAGCCAGTACACTCGAACGGCGGTTAACAGAGTGGAAGAAGGGGAACCTGCAGACCCTCATCCACGAATGTGACACTATTCACAAGGAGCTTAAGAAGCGTCAACAGAGAAGCAGAACCAGCAATGATGACGCACGTCACTTTGCATCCAAGGTGACCAGTGGCCGGCTGGCATCTGCCTTGAGATCACTTTCCGCTGGGGAGTTTCCTGGTGTGCTGGGACTGGATGACATTTCAGGTGACTACACTGTCCGGGAGATACTGGAAGCGAAGCATCCCCCACCTGCACCCGCATCCATGGAGGCGTTGCTAGACGGTGACGCTCCACCTACACCGCATCCAACAAGATTCTCTGGGTTAGACCGAGAAACGGTTCGGAGAGCTGCCCTTAACACTCATGGAGCAGCAGGTCCATCTGGCATTGATGCAGACGCGTGGAGATGGATGTGTACGGCTTTCTCGGAAGCATCAGACTTGCTATGTGATGCACTGGCTGCCTCTGCTCGACGGCTTGCAACAGAGCATGTTGACCCAGTCACCTTGGAGGCGTACGTAGCATCCAAGCTTATCCCGCTTGACAAGGACCCAGGAGTTCGCCCAATCGGCATAGGCGAAGTGGTGAGACGAATCATTGGCAAAGCCATCCTTGCCCTCATCAGAAGCGACATCCAGGAAGCGGCAGGAAGTCTCCAATTGTGTGCTGGACAGGAATGCGGCATTGAGGCCGCAATCCATGCAATGCAGCAGATGTTTGACCAAGACGACACCGAAGCAGTGTTGATGGCGGATGCCACAAACGCTTTCAATCAGCTTAACCGGGAAGTCTGTCTACACAACCTGCGCCACCTCTGCCCATCCCTAGCCACAGTAGTTATCAACACGTATCGCTGCTCAGCCAAGCTGTTTGTTGGAGGTAGTTTTATCATGTCGGCTGAAGGAACAACCCAGGGTGATCCTTTAGCCATGCCCATGTACGCCGTTGCCATTCTTCCACTGATCCGTTCCCTGTCAGCAGCGAAGGCCACTCAGCTCTGGTATGCGGACGACTCGTCAGCTGCGGGGAGGATCATCCGCCTGCGAGCATGGTGGGACCTTCTCTGCCAGCGGGGTCCGTTGTACGGATACAAGCCGAATCCATCAAAGTCTGTGCTGGTCGTCAAGCCACCGCACCTCAAAGAAGCCAGCAGAATCTTCGAGAGTACTGGTGTCACCATCACCGACGACGGTCACCGCTTTCTTGGAGCAGCTATTGGCACCTCTGGCTTTGTGGATGGCTACCTCAGCCAAAAAGCAGAGTCCTGGAGGAAGGAGGTCCTAACCCTCGCTGAGATCGCCGACTCCCAGCCGCAAGCTGCCTTCTCTGCCTTTACGCATGGCCTGAAGCACCGTTGGTCGTTTCTGTGCCGTGTGATGGAGAGGGCCGCTTCAGCTTTAGGCACGCTGGAGGAAGCAATTGCCTCCCGCCTCATCCCCTCGCTTTGTGGTCGCTCGGTGGGCACCGTTGAACGGAAGTTGCTAAGCTTCCCTTGCAGAGATGGTGGCCTTGGACTCCTCGATCCCACTGCACTCTCTGGTCAGTACAAGGCGTCATGCACCATCACCGCTGCGCTGGTGTCAAAGATCAGCTGCCAGGACCCAGCCCTAGGTGACACCCTCGACACTGTCCGCCAGACCAAGCGGAAACTGGCTAGTGACACCAGACTGGCCACAGGAAGAGCTGCCACTGAATTTCTGCTGTCACTCCCGTCGGGTCTTCAGCATTGCATGAGGCTAGCCAGCGAGAAAGGTGCCTCCTCCTGGCTCACATGTCGCCCCCTGAAGGCGCACGCATTCGCTCTGTCGAAGGGCGAATTTCGGGACGGCCTGGCACTTCGGTATGGTTGGACTCCATCTCATCTTCCAACACATTGTGCCTGTGGTGAATCCTTCACCATTTGCCATGCTCTGTCGTGCTCTCGAGGAGGATTTCCCTCGCTCCGGCATAATGAGGTTCGTGATGTGACGGCGTCTCTCCTCAAGCGTGTTGCCCACAGTGTCGTGCTCGAGCCACACCTGCAACCTATCACTGGCGAATCCTTCAGGCATCGTTCTGCCATCACCAACCCTCAAGCGCGGCTGGATATAGCTGCGAGTGGTGTCTGGGGTGGACGGTTTGATCGCACCTTTTTTGATGTAAGGGTTTTTAACCCGTTTGCGAGCTCAAACCGTACCACTTCAGTCCCCTCCAGCTACCAGCGTCACGAGCGAGAGAAACGGCGTTGCTATGAGGAGCGAGTCTGTGAAGTCGAGCATGGCTCCTTCTGCCCCGTCGTTCTCTCCACATCTGGAGGCATGGGGAAGTCAGCGACATCGCTATACAAGCGCATTGCTGACATGCTATCGGAAAAGTGCCAGGACCCCTACTCCAGGGTAATGGCATGGATCCGCTGCCGGGTAAGCTTTGCGCTTCTTCGTGCCTGCATTGCCTGCCTACGTGGAGCTCGTCGTCCGATCTTCACTCCCTCCGTCACAGCTGCTTCGGTAGATCTCGTGGTTGCCGAGGCTAGGCTCCGATAACTGAATGATCCTCCTTGAACAGACTCCTGCAATCGATGTTATGAGAGTTCTCCCATTAATATTATTACTCTTTTTTCGTATTATTAGTTTGTTTCTTTTGTTATGATTTCTTGTGTTTTTCACTCGGCTTTATTATCATTTAACTTATTATTTGGTGCACATTAGCGCTACATGGTTTATAATTTCCCTTTTTCTTGATTTTGTATTTAGCGCTTTCGGGTGTTATTATTTATTTTTCTTATTTTCGCACTAAATTATTATTTTTGGCTACCGTACTACAGTGCATCAATTGACTTGTACGCCCTTCTTTATTCAGACCTAACTTCTCACTGATTATTTTGTGGTGCACAAGTGGATAATGCAAACACTCCCTAGGCTGACCTCTCACTGTATTTTCTGTCACGAACGTAGCCTCTCTTGCATAACACTATCATAGTTCATCGTCTTTGCGTCTTCATCAACCTCGTCCCCGCAGATTAGTTAGCTCTTCGGTATTCAAAATAGATCTCGCTTGCCATCCTTGGTTCTTATTGAATCAGGATCACTATTCCTGATCCATATGTATTCATCACAGTCTGTTCTCTCTTAGTCTGATCTGCATGTGATAATGATGCCTGCACCAATACCATAACATTCTGTAGCAATAACATAGTGATTGCGTCAGACCGCATGCTTACCTCCGTCGAAGTGTGACTGATTGTGTATGGAACAGGTCAATATTACTGTCACGTCAATACGTGAGGTCTGTGTATTAGGGAGGACAACGTATTATTTTGTGAGGTCAAATCATTGTGTAGGAGAAAAAGAGTTGTGGGGCCCCTATTATGGGTCGATATTGTACACGCGGAAACATGTGGGATGGGAGGTTCATTTTAACATTAAATTTTTGTATTGAGCATAGTATGATAAATGTATACCATACATTTCTACACGTGTTCGTGACGCACTAGAATACATGTACATGCAGGATAGATAGATTAGAGTCTATGTAATTGCCTTCCTGCCACCCTTCATCGCTAGGCACCGGCGGATAATGCCGGCTTAATTATTGGCATAATTTGGAAGCATAATATGAGGATTTTACGAGCATAATGCGAGAATCCATGAAAGCATAATTCCTTGATTTCTCGAGCATAATCCACCGTGTTAGGGTAGAAATGCATACATTATAATTATGACATGTACATGTACATGTACATGACTCGATTGCGACTACTAGTACTGTAGTACATGCACGTAAATGTAAGCCTCGTCATAAGCTATAATTAGATCTCCCATGCTTGTAACCTTGTTGTCAGCATTTCTAGAACTAGTACTTCTACCACTTCCTTTTAGTTAGTCAATCACGTCGTT